GATGAAAATGGACAACAAAGTTGGGCCCACCATTTTATTTATAACGTGGGAGTTATGAGGAAGTTGGAACGCAATAAAACCCCAAAATAAATCCAAGCCGTCAATCAAGGCACACCAGACACAGCCAATTGCCATTGTCCATTTTTTCAAGGATTGGTGTGGCCCACCGCACTGAATCATATCTCATTATCATCACCACCACGTGGACGATCCTGATCATTCCGAATTCCGAATTCTCATTCTTCCACCAAATAAGCCCTAATTATTACCATTTTCTTTTTCTCTTCTTCTCACCCCTATTTACAAATCAATAGATCTTATAATCCTTTTATTTATTTGTAAAAATTGTATTTCTTTTTAGTTTGCAAATTTTTATAAATTAAATTTGATTTTTTTTTGTAATAAAATTTTTAAAATATAATTAAAATTTTAGTAGAGTACTCTCAACTTTGATTCATTATAATCTAAGAATGTTTATTGTCCCTATGAAATCTCATCCAGTAAGGACCCACTTAAATGCGGTGGGGAATCCCTGTTTAAATTTCTCACCACAGAGATGAGGTAAAAATTTTCCTCACCATCTAAATTAGGTGACAGGGATAGGGAATACGTTCCTTGTTTCCTGATTTTTTTAATATTATATATACATTATACACACTAAAATAATTATATTATCATCAAATAATCATATTATCATCTTTTATATATACACTAAAAAAAAGTATGCATTCTTCTCTACCCACCCACCTAATATATATATTTGAAAGAATTAGAATTTAGAAACTAAGCAATTGAATAAAAATTTACTTAAGAAAAAATATTTATTGAAAAATATTTGAAAAAATAAAAAAAGAAATGGGAAAAAGATTTCCCGTGGGGAACCCTGCCCCGATCCCCGCAATTTCTTTGTGGGGAATTTCTCGAGGATGGAGAATTAAATGGGAGCTGGGTATGGGGACAGGGAAACCTTCCCCGTCCTGCCCCACCCCATGAACATCCCTATTCTGGCCCTATACTTTTAAAACTTGAATCTTGATTAATGTTAACTTTTTGTTCATTTTAGTCTCTCATATTCATCTTCATCCCTGTATTTTGAAGAAGTATCATTTTTTCTATTTGTTTTCATGTTTTATCTCATTTTGTTTCAATCACAACATTAGCCTCGTACTTAATTCATTATACTTTTTGAAATGTAGACATAATTTGTGTTATATGGTTTCCACGATTTATATTTTTTTTTGTTAAAATTTTGTAAACATGGATCAAAATCAAAATAGACGTTTTGAAAGTATAAGAACTAAAATAAACGAGAGTTAAAACTACACTAACTTAAAATTTTAAAAAATTGGAAAAGAAGGGGGTAATAAGATTTGTCCTTATTTTTCATATTTAACTAAGATTTAAAAAGTATTTAATAAAAACATATATAGGAAAAAAATTTAATTTCTATAAAACTAAAATAAATTAATAAATGACAATCTATATGTTGCTTTTTAATACTATTTTTGAAATTTTAGTTATTATTATTTTTAATATAAGAAAAATCGTTATCAAGTGAAGTTTTCATTGTCATCTGATTTATCAAATATTTGAAGATATCTCCTTTTAAGATTTTCTTGTTTGATTGAACAGTCGATAGGGAAAATATTTCTTGATGTAACAAATAGTCCTTTCTTTTTAAATACCCCTCGGCCGACCTGATGCCTATTTAACCTAAATAAATCAAAATTAAATATATTTTTTCTTGAAAGATGTAAACCTTAGACAACCATAGGAAAAGGTTTGATAATCATTCATACATAAAAAAAAAAAAAGTAGATTAATATTTTAGTTCATATCATTCTAATTTTTGTTTATTTTAATCTCTATATTTTTAAAATGTCTGTTTTAGTTCATGTATTTTTAATTTTTATATGTTTTAATTGGTGTACTTTTAAAACATTCAGTTAAATTTGAAGAGATATCGTTTTGGTCACCTCATTTTACATTTATCTCGTTTTTTCGATCACTCAATATATTTCTTGAAATGTAGCTATAATTTTTATTAAAAGGTTTATGTTATGCATATCATTTGCGTTAAAACTTTGCAAACATTAACTAAAATGATCACTTTGTAAAAGTTACTTGAAGCAAAACGAATATTTTGAAAGTTCATAGATTAACATAAAGCAAATATGAAAGTAGAACGAACAAAATAATTAAAAAAAATATGTATCGGAGTCAAAATAGTATCTTTAACCCTTGGGAATTTAATACGTTTTAAAAAATATATATATATATATTTAAAAAAGAAAAATAATATTTCAATTGTATCCCTTTACTTAGTTCAAGAAAGTCAATTTCGATTTTAAAATTTCAAGCCCAACAAAATATTAAGAATTAGAAACAATATCCATAAAAATAGTTTGGTTGAACAACCAACAACTAACCATATAGTTCCTCAAAACAAAATGAAATTAAGAAATTGGATTGGAGTGATACTTTTTTTAGAAAATTACATACAAATACGAGGAAAGTAAATTGTTTGATATTATTTCAGTTGTTGTACTCTCAATTTTAACTTAGTTTGAAAATTGTAATTTCAAAACATCTATTTTGTCCTTATACTTTCAACTTTGATTTATTTTTATTAACGTACTTTCAAAATGTCTATTTTAGTAACAATTTTGGTATATTTATTTTCATTTTTGTTTCATTTTTTCCAATCACAATTTTAACATGACATTTCACTTGTTAAATTTTTTTCAAATGTAGCCATAAATTTGTAATAATTAATTTTGATTGTGTATAAGATTTACGTACGACGACAAAGAATGAACCAAAAACAAAAAACATGGGGAAAAAATTACCCAAGTTCTATCTAACTATTTGAGCCAGGTTGAATCCGACTGCATTTATAAAGAAATAAATAACAATACTTCCTTATTAATCTGGCAGTAAGAAATCCGCTACTAGTCGTCGTTAAAACTTTTACGGGTGTTAATTGATTTGAAATAAAGAAAACGATCTACGATCTCTCCCCCTCTTTGCCCTCTCATATTTGTAAAAAAAAATAAGGCTGTTTGTTCAATGATATGAAAACAAATGATTCAATGAAAAAAATAGAGTTCTATTTATGTTTTCAATATTTTCGAATATGATTTTGGTAGATTTGGAAATTGAATATCAATCTTAAAAACTGTTTGAAAGGTGTTTAATAATATATTTGTATACCGTGCATTTAGTTCAATCTAATATATTATTAATTAATTTATTAACATATATTATAAATTTTGGATCACATCATAAAAAAAACAGTTTTGAAAAACAAACCTGTCAAAAGTATATTCATTAAATCTGAAAATAATAAACATAATTTAGATGGTCTACCAAACATGTCCTCAACGACCGAGCTTGGAAAATTGAAGTGGGCTAGCCAGGAGCAAAATATGGGTGTGGCATGTGTATATGTGTTTGATAAAATTAGGGGGAAAAGAGGGGAAAAGAGCGTTGACAACGGTATTCCAAGTATATATCTCAAATATCTTTTGTCTGCTTATTTGCTTTTGGTTTTACTTAAAAGGTCCAATACCAATTAAGATAATTATTTTCTCTTATATACTATGAATCACTTTTTTGTTTAACTAATGTGAAACTTTATTTACATTCGTTCCGATTCCGGAGGCATGAGTGATGGTTGAGACTCGGAGGGTTCAAAACATGTTGTGTGTTTCTGAATTCTGATCAATGATCATATCCACAAGTATCACTTCCTCTGCTTTCCTCTCTCTCTCCACGTGCTCTCTCTCTCTCTCTATATATTCTGTTTTTGCAGCAGAGATGTGGCTGTTTCTGTACTCTCACACTCACCATCTTCAACAGTCCCTCCCACTCTTTTGCCGTTGAAATATGGACCGTTCGGTCAGTTCTTTTTTATTGCAACGAATATAAGATAGATGTTCGCTAGTTAACACGAGAGTAATTCTTCRAAATTATTGACGGGTTGTAGATGGTAACTGTGTTGTCTAATTACCCACCTCAAAAGAAATAGTTGTACCAAACACAACGGTTAAAATTCTTTCATAACTGCTTTTAGCCCTTGCAATCACAATCCCAACCGGGTTCGAATATCCAAATAAGTATTATAATCTCATACTTCTTATATTTGTTTAGGCCTCCTCTAATAATTTATCTATTTTGGGGGTTCTTTTTCTTTTGGCAAAGAGAATGGCATAAATGTAATTAAATGTGGATGTGAGGTTTATTATAGCCTACTGTGTTGACATTTTGATATTATGTTAAATAAAAATATATACGAGATTTTGGTAATCCATACCAACTTCAACCAAACAGAAGTAGTTTGGAAAACAGAGCCCATTGGCCATTTACAAAGAAAATGCCAAAACAGAACAAAACATTTGAGATCTGTCATACAATTGGTTAAAAATGTTTCTTTATATATCCTACACTTCAAGCTTTAATATATACATTTAAATAAAATTATAATGGATGGATAGTCCATCCATTGGTTGAAATCATCAAGCTGCTAACAGCATTTTGAAAAGTACTTTTCAAACAGCTCCTATTTTAAAACCTGAAATAGGTATTTAATCTTTAATTTGTTTTGAATGAACAATGCAGGATTGTTTTCAAGAGCAACACTTATCATAGGTAAAGATCTTAGATCTAAATGAATTGTTCATTTTGGAGTTTTTTTTATACTATAAAGATCGATGACATTTCTACACACTAAATCTCAGTCATTCTATTTTCAGATATCACATTCTCATTCCTACGAACCTCTTCGTTCCTTCTCAAATGTTTCAAGACGTATCTTAGAATTTGACCTACAACTGACATGGAGGCCTCTTTCGAGGTCACAATGTATGCTAACGACATTACATAGTATGGTATGCTTTTATGAGACATTAATTGGGAATATTAAGAGCAACAATCAGCACATACCAAAGTCCAATGGCCAGCCTACTAGTAATCAAAGAACATACTGTAACTTACCTTCCTTCAACAAATCAGTCCCATCAATACAGCTCAAATGACAAAGACTAGTTAATAAAAAGAATCCATTAAAGATTCAAATCTCTCCACTCTACTTGATATATCAACGACATCGACAACAACGAAAACGATAATATAAAAGATTATTCAACATACCRAAGTCGATCACTCCACTGTGTTGGAAAGACGGCATCAGACTACACACTGGGAATTTGAGTGAAGAAGTAGCAAATCTACACAACAGATTTCAAAGCAAGGGAAAAGGAAGAGGGTGTTTCTACATGCAAAAATATTCAGAGGTAAGCAGGCTACATTCAATATRACTGTTCTTTACATAAAACTACAGTGATAAATTATGAAAAACATCCCAATGTAATTTCTGAGAGTGACAATGAATCAATTGAAAAAAAAATAATTTGGCATACTGCAAGATTTAACAGCTCCTTCCCACCGAAACTTTTAGAAGTTAACTAAAAAACTACATTTGTTAATCTTGAACCTAGTGGAAGAGAAGATATTGAGCAGCAATTTCAGTGTTTKTTGTAGGGGAAACTACAATCAGAATTTCTCTCCTTAGTTCAACCCGACAAAATGTAGAACAGAACCAAATCTCCTCTCTTTTAGAAGAAACGAAAGGGTTATAAAGGAAATGAAAGGTAGAATTATGGGTTGAAAGAAGAGAAGAAAAAGCAATGTTGCCCACCTGAGGAACATAAACAACTTGCTTCCTTGCAGAATTTTTGGCAACAGCAGTTATAGACGTATGCACCAGATACCATAGGCATATCGAACTCGATGAATGAGCTTCCATGATTAAGGATCGATGAGAAAGGAAAGAACTTTTACTGACAGAAGTCAAAAAGGTTAAGCAARTGATGTCATTTGATGCTCACCCCCACCTTATGCATAATACATGTACAAGCTGTTTGCGGCAGCACAGGCGATTGAATCTTCAGCCGGATGCCATGCTAGATGCAGCAGCTTAGTTGTGAAATCAAAGGGATTGCCATTTGCATCAACCCCTGTGCTCTCAGATCCTCCTGATTTCAATGTTTAACGATGTAGGAATATAAGAAAATATGACAAAAGGAGAGGAATGAGCTTCTAGTATAGAAGGGCTCTGAATAATTTAGTCCATCAGAAGAAATAAAGGAAACGAAATTGTGGAGAACCTACCTCGTCTGACAACTCTTGTAAAGCTACTACTAAGTGATCTCGAAGGTCTCGAAGGGGTCTGCACTTGTCTCCTACTAGCCAATACCAGTAATGACATACTTACTATAAGTATTACAAAAATCTCATAGAACTCAGAGTTTGTGAATATGCCACTTGATTGAAATACCTAGTTGGATTTTTGCTGGCTTCCAAAGTCGTTGCTTCAGTACTTCCCGGGGAACAACCAAAAACTCGAAATAAATTGCTGGGATCACATCAATAACACACATATTCATGGTAGGGATTATTGGGAGGGGTGAAAAAAGTCTGAACATACATACGTGCATAGATAAACTTCGAAATGACACAGACCTGTAGGAACCTGTAGTTACACGCGATCCATCACCACTCAGACAACACTCAAACTTGTCAAAGATCGAATCGTTTTCATATAAATCACAAAGCTGCATATGGTCATAAGAAAGTGCATTTAGTCAAGTCCAATAAAGTTGTATAAATTTTTAGCTATAAGTTTTGCCTGAATAAAGAGATCTTACCTTGGGTCTTAAATATTCATGAACTTGGAAGGTTGCAACCGGACCAGTATCCATGTTGATGTCCCATAACTGAAAAAGACAAAAAAACAGGCTGGAGTTGCAAGGAATATGTCATAAGGAAAGCAAACTTCCAATAACAAGAAATTTGAGGCAGAAAAAGGAAGAAAAATGAATGATTCAAAGAGCCGAAGGCAGGAAAAATGTTAGTATGGTATATAACTTAAAGGAATGTCATAACTTTTATCATGTTTACTTAGTCTATGTGATAGCTCATATGATGCTATACGTCATTTAGGAGCATTTTTTTCTATTCGATTTGCAACTTTGTTAACCATATGGTCAAACAACACATTATTCTCAGGCACTTCATATTCATGTATATTAATACATTATTGAGAATTTTATATACACGGTTAGAAAGAATCATCACTATGACACTTCACATTCAAATCTTAGGATGGCACTATCAAATAGTTCATGGCCTTTTAATTGAAACAGAATTGATCGATAGTTATATATACATACAAACCTTAAGAGTCATGTAATCACGACTTAATATATATCTTCCGTTCTTTCCAAATTTAAYATCTGAGATGGAAGCAATTATCTCTGTGAAAAATGATCTAGAACCAGGAGCCTCTGGTTCCTCAAATCTGTAAGCAAAATACACTATTTAATCATTACAAGTTCATGTAAGTATCATACCCTACCCCCGCAAACAAATCAACCAAAAATAAATTGAAAAAAAAAAGAAAGAAAAGTTTGTTCATAGTAAGAAGATATGTACGCAAAAAAAGATACAAGCGGGGGGTGGGGACACCTACAATTTGGCATGGGAATCACATAATGCTGACTGCCGCAAATCAACTAGGCGAATTGAGCCTTTTGAACTGCTATATGCCAGCATGTTACAATGTGTAGGGTGAAACTCAGCAGATGTAATCACCTCTGTAAAAAGATGCATKTACATAAAATATAAAACAAAGGTGAAGAACTCATACGCATGCATCTTATTCATGAAAATTCATATTCCATGAGTAAACCAAATAAGCATGGATATTATAGAAGAAAATTTTCACTGGTTCTCTAGCACACTATATAGTGAAACTGTGTACTACATCCAAAGCTATTCATCCACGGTTTTATGTCCCCCCCTTGAATGGGTGTGATGATGTGCAGGAGMAATCTCTTGTAATTCTGTTTTATAGTTTTGATTTTCTGTTTTTTTTTTCTTGTTTGCATTGCTCCTTTATTAGGGGCGTTCTTTGTAGGCCCTAAAGAAAGGCACACTAGTGAAATTGGAAAACTGGCATAAGAYATAAGAGCTTCTTAATGGCCCTTCCTGTAAACATTTTTCCAAGGACATATTCCACTCATGTCATCACAGAGCTCATGACTAAAGAGAAACTAGCACTATAAATTCTAAATAATAAATCCAACACAAAATATCATAAATATCATTATGCAGAAGCAAGCCACAAGGAAAACAAAAATGGGCTTACCAGTTAAATCCTCCATGTTAGCAGGCTTCACATCAACAATGTTAAAACTTTGATTGCTAATTTCCATGTTCCAAAGATTTATCCGTAGATCATCAGCCGATATAAAAGTTTCACCATCACTATAAAATAGGTAGGATGTGTGAATACAATAGATATATGCATAATTATTAAAACATCAAATACCATTAAAAAAAACAGCAGGTTCATAATCTGATTGCTACTGTGATACATGATACTTTAGAACCTTCAAATCCTACATCAATCAAGGGAGGGGRAAAAGATAAGAAGAGTAGCAGCTTAGTCCTTGTACAACATTTAAACATGTATCCAAACGTCTGGTAGTACCTGTTATTCGAGATAGAGTTGATATGATAATCGTGAGCATGAGCATATACTCTTCGACATCTAGCAAGAAGGCTYGTCTCGTGGCTAGTTAACTAATTTCACCAAGAACAAAAATATTATTATTAGTTGATAAGATTAACAAGGAAAAGGAAAATGAATAGCAATCACAATCACGAGTGTCAAACAATAATGTAACAAAGGAAAAGGGTAAATGAAGTGCACACAAAAAAACTCTCGGCTTTCTTCAGAAGTACACAAAACAAACCTTTAGTTTTAAAAATGCAAATCAATCTTAATGATTATATTGCATAACAGAATTTGGGAGATGTAGTTTGGTCAATCAAACATCCAATTAGAGTCACAAATGACAACAAATTTATTCAACCAGTTGCTGTTTCCAGATCTCTAATAATTAAAATTTTGGGAATAGTGTGAGGTCATGGCAGGGGACACATCCCTTGTCCCGGTCCGTAAAAAATTGGAAGAAAAATTTCTCCCATCCCCAACCTTGTCTACCTCTTGAACAAAGATTTTCTACAATGATTGTGGCAGGTGCATTCATGGCCCCACCCCCATCATGATTTTTGCCACCCATATCCAATTTTCAACTGTAACTTCTCAGTGAGATACAAACATAAAATTGATTGAAAACTTGAAAATGGTAAGATGCACATTTTTTGCATTTTGTCCTTTCAGCTATCTTTCACCACTACGACGGTACAAGAAGTTAAAAAAAGAGTCACAACTCGAAATGTGGAAATGCCCAGTCCAAAACCAAGAGAACACAAGCAACTACCACTTGTAGACGTAGTGACGAAATGGCCCCCAATAGGTCATTGCTGGGATGATTATGTAATCCATCACAGGATCCTCCATTTGGAAGATGTGGCATAGGACTGCTTGAAATACTTGAACTAGCTATACATCCATTTCCAACGGCTTTGGAAGGGTCCACATTCATGTTGGATATTTTCTTGATCTTCTTTTCTTGCACCTGGTCAAACATCAAAGAAAGAAGCCAGATTGAATAACGAATGATACACTTGCATAAAAAGTTTAATGACCTACAGAAATTTTCTACTATTCCATGACTTTGTGATAGGGCTAAAAATAAAAATTACTGCACTACACCCTTTTCCAGTTGACATGAGATGAGACTAATATGAGAGAATATAGTCATACCAAACAGTACAAAAAAAATGTAGCAAGAACACTAGAAAACAAATATATATATATATATATATATAGCGTTTCTATTTTCAGCTGTTCTTTTAAATTTTGAATTACTTATTATATTAGGTTTCTTAATTAGAAACTGATTCCTGTTCTGGAAACCAAGTCCTTAGTTTGGCATTAGTGCTTGCTCAAAAGTCAAAACTTAGGTATAACTACTGACCACCAACTAACTGATATTTGCAAGGAAGTAGTTCACTATCATATATATACGACGTCAGTTTCATACCTTCCAAAACTTAATGGTTTTATCRTTAGTAGACAATAGAAAGAGGGCTCCATTGGCTGTTTGGCACCATCTGATTTTGTTAATTTTCTCCTCAATTTCCAAGCTCTTGAGATAGTCAAACTAAAAAAAATGCAGCCATGGTATGAGTACTAGAATAATAATATCAAAGCTATTAATCTGAAAAGTAAATAATTTTGCAGATATAGCAGAAGAGAAAGATTGCCTCGGGTTCATGGCTCTGGAACTCTGTTTTATAACGGAACTCAGGATGCCTACTAACTGAATGATCCATTTTCTCCAAGTCCTTTCTCATTCCTCCATGCTACAAAGACAATATATGAACTTCCATAACCAAGAGACTAGAACTAATTCTTGATAGTGAACGCACAAACAAAATCAACAGAGGTCAAAAAGAACTAACATCTTTTCTATCTGTCCTCTCAAAAAGAACCACTCTACCACCTCGATCGCCAGTAGCAAGATGGTCGCCAGTTTGATCAAACTCAATGGCTGAAATAATATCAACTGCAGAGAAGCAACCATGTAGGGAAAATTAAGACTCATGTGGCTCTTAAAATACTACAGGAATTATGGCAATACTGCATGTCTACGCTTATGCTCTCAGCCAGAATCTACATCAAAGCCCATGTGCTCACCCACAACAACTACACGATTATAATTCCACTGATTTTGTCTATTATTTCCTGATTGTAATATCAATTTACAAGGCACAAAATCAACAATCTGTATGAGTTTACAAGCCTCAATTCGTCGAGCAGGCTAAACCAAAATCTAAACGGAGAGGGGAGAGCCACATTACCAGACCTTGTAAATAGCCCAATCCTAGTTTTCATGATGTTAGGCAGGGAAATATTAAGGTTATTTCCAACTATCACCCCCGTGAATAAACTTATTTCTATACTAAAAGAGCTGACGCCGATACTTCAATGCATGCAATATAAGCACTAACTTTGAACACAGCTGCAACCGTAACTTGCCGGATTAAGTTTCRTACTACTAAAATAAATCGACAAAGAACTAATGCTGCATAATCTACGAAAGGTACAAACTCCATATGGAACTCAAAACTATTCTGCAACTGAAACCCGCTTTACTCCCATATCGAACCCAAAATACCGCACAACAAATTACACTAACTCGACAACCCACAAGATGGAACGTGAATTACTCGGAACCAACCTGAAATAGATCAAAGATATGAAAACAAACCCTAACTACAACTGATGCAGTGTATACCGATTGGATCCAACAAACAAACCATAATGGCATGCTCAACAACAGTACAATGTGAAAAATACCTTCCTGTACTTCTTCGCCGGCGGTACGTTCACCAAACACCTGCGAGAATTTCCACTCGAGAGGCTGCGAGGAGGCCGCCGGAGCTGCCACGACTTCATCGCCACCTTTCATATCTCCGGGAGACTAATCCAACTCACCCAGATACAGAAGGGAAGAGGGGGACAATCCACCAAATCCAATCACAGCATCAACCGATCGCTCTGGGTATACATCATCACAGCTTCAAAAACTCATCAGAAAAACAAAACCCCAGAAAACAAAAAAGGCGAAAAAATGATCCGCTAGATTCCCGATTCAGCCATAGCGAGCATGGAAATGCGCAGACTCTGTTGGAGAAAGTTGAAGCACTGTGTGCCGAATTCGCTCTCCCAGTGGGTGGGAATCTAGAGCATATAGTAGAAAAATTATGAGGAAAATTTATGGGATTAGAACAGTGTATGAGCAAACCGTTCCTTCGGTTTGTAGAACCATAGAGACACTCTCCTTCTGTGTAGCTCTTCAATTCAATAGCCAAGTTTCTTTTTTCTTATTTTTTCTTTTCATCTTCCCTTTTTTTAATTTCTGTTCTGTATAATCTTCGAGGGACATGATAAAGTGACCAGCACGTGCGAGATGGCTGCCCTCGAGGGATTTTTGTTATCTTTTAATTTTAAAATCTGCTATTCTTTTTTCAAATTAGGGAATTTTGTTTTCATTCCCGTGTGTTATATATATATATATATTTTTAATCTAACAGTAAACTATGTTTAGGTTGACGACTCCAAATTTTTTTATTATGGATATAGCATTGAGCTCGCACATATATATTTATTTTAAAATAAACTTAAGATTGAGAATGATAAATATAATTTCTTACTATGTTTCTAATCCAAAATTTTAATTATCCATGCATCATCGAACACACACATAGATTTATTTGTTTTATGAGTTTAACAATACGTAGATGTATGAATTTTAATCTTCAACTTTTTAATCGATACTATATGTCTTAATTGGTCTAAATTGGCGTTACATTTTTTTTAAATTTAAATCATTACTCAATAAAAATATGATTTATTCCTTTTGTTTTCATGTTAATATTTATAGGATTGATTGCAACACATGCTTCTTATTTGTTTTTTTTATGCAATTTTTGTAAATATAATCTTTTTTAAGTATAAATATAGGGATGAGATTCAAACTCACAATTGATAAGTGTATTAATAATTTGAGTTATGTTTAAGTAGGTGCTTTTATAAATACTATTTATAGATTATTGTTTAATAACGCATTGCAATTGCTATAATTATTTTTTTAAAATTAATATTCACCTATCCTATTACCACTGAAAACAAACACTTATAGGTTCATATCTAACATCTAAAAAAATAAAAAATATATATTCTATCTCTTATAGCAACTAATGAGAATTTCAAATTTAAAAGTGATGGATATATAAAAATAAATTGAAACAAGCTACAATTTTTGACAAATATTATTATATGTACATAGTCTAGGCTTGACTTGAGAAATTTGAGTCAATGTGAGATGATTTTTTAAAGAAAAATCTTGAAAGGGTATTATTAAAAAATCATTTTTTCTATAAAGTGATTTTTTTAATTAATGGACTATTAAATGATTTCTAGAAATKGTGCTTTAAAAGATAATTTATAATGATATAAGAAAAGTTCTATGTTTTTTTTTATCGATATGTATTTAAAAGTAGATTACATTTTATATTGTTTATAAAAAGTACTATAAGAAGAAAATAATAGAAATTATTTGTTGAGTCATAACCTCATTTTATTAAATTAAATTAAATTAAGTTTTGATGGTATTTAGTGACGAATAAAACTTCTTTGGAAAAAACAACTTTGGAAATTATTCACTTTGGAAAAAAGGTATGGCACAACATTTGTTTAAACAATTGTACTTTATTAAAAACAACTCAAAAATAAAACTTCTTTCAATACATAAAATTACGAGATTTTTAATTTTTTTTTCATTTCCACTCATATTTAGAAGGACCAGTTTGTCTAGGCCCCTTTAATAACCTTCTATTTAAAAATAAACCTAGATAATTATTTATGTTTTTTTTTTATTTTTTAGAAACATTCTAAAAATTTATTGAAATTTTGGAAACAATTTTTCATTGGGTATTAGAACCATGCMATTCTATTTTTCTTTATAAAAAATGAGAGAAAATAAAAACAATAAACAAAAACGTTATCAAACGAGCCATAACATTTTAATTTGTCGTTTTCTGTTTGGTGACGGGAAATACATACGATATTATGAAGTTTGAATCTATTTCTCTCAATTTACTCTAATCCTTTTACATYAATGAGACATCAATGATAGTTTGGTTTTTTTTTTTCTTATACTTTCAAAATATGCATTTTGATCCTTATATTTAACTTTTGTTCATATCAAACGGTTCGTTTTAGTCTAGGTACATTTCAAACAATTTAGTGAATAACGTATTGTGCTAAAATTTATGATCAAACTAAACGAGTTAAAATTGAAAATGAATGGATCAAAATGACCAATTTTAAAAAGTACAGAGACAAAAATGAAAATTTCAAAAGCACATAGACTAGAGAACCAAATTTGAAAGTATCATGACCAAAATAAACGTTTTTAGAGTATAGAAATCAAAATGAAACAAAGCTGAAAAACACAGCAATTAAGAAAGTATTTAAATAAATTTAAAAAAAAAACCCCTCAGAGAAGGTGGTCTAAAATAGAGGAAACCGAATGGCCCATTTTCCAATATTTTGTTGGGCCATCTGTAAGTTCTTCTATATATGGGCCTGGCTGTATTAAAAGGCTTGCAAGCCATTAATCACTCGAATCACATCATTTTCTTCAGGTTCATTTTTTTCAAGGGAGTGCAACATGTACTCGGCTGAAACTCGATAATTGGATAGCTACACTGTAGAGTTTCAGGAGGAATAACTATATTTGCTAATATGAGCATAGTTCAAGTGAATAAGACACATTAGTAACATCCCGAAGGTCGAATCTCCCAATCCCACAGTTGTTGAACTAAAAAAAACCATATTGCCTTTTCGAGAGACCTAGAAAGGAAAAACAACGCTCTATGTATTATCAGACTCACTCGTCTTTTCTCCTTCCTTCCAGTCGAGGTTTAAACTCTCGTAGTTGACAGAAGAGAATGTCTCAAAGCAAAATTGATAGTACTACAAAAATTAGCTCGACGATTAAAACATGATAAGCTTAACGTTAAACGTTAAAACGTCCTCATTTTCTTGAGACATGGGGAATATTGTCCTTCCCTAACGAGGTTTGGGTATCTCTACATGCATTCAAAGTAGGCATGTAAAATTTAAAGGTGATTTTAGGAATTTGGGTGTTTCAATTTAGGTTTTAAGAAGTTAAAATTGAGTGCATTTTGGAATCGTGAGTGATGAGAGAATCTTTGATTCGACTCTGCCAAAATTTCCATTTCTCCACAGCCTTTTCTTTTTGGGTTTGGCTTGGAATCAAATCATCCACCAGTTTCTACCTCTGTTTCTGAGCCCACACAGAGATATCAAAGGGAAAAAAAAAAGCTATGGAAAGCAAAGGAAAATGGCCCCTGCCTCTGCTGATTTTCATATTGATATGCAGTCTCATACTCTATTCTACTTTTAAAAATTAGGTTTGTTTTCTCACAATTTATTTGGTATCTTTTTCACGTTTTTTCGATACCAAATTTTAATAACAAAAACATATTTATGGAAAATATTGTCTTTTAGTTTTCAAATTTTAGCTGAGATTTTGAAAACGAATATATAGGTAGAAGTAGAACTAGCGATTATAAACTTAATTTTTAAAAACGACCACGTTGTTATCAAATAAGACCTAAACTTTTAATTTTGTGTCTAACAGGTCCTTAAACTTTTAAATTCTCTAAAAAGTTCTTAAACTTTCAATTTTGTGTTTAATAAATCTACATATTTAAAGCTTTTTCAAATTAAATGATGACTTAATATTAAGTCATGTGTATAAAAAGATCACAAACTTTCAATTTTGTATCTAATAGATTTGTGAACTTAAAAAAATATTAAATAATTCAATGGCATATTAGACACAAAATTGAACTTTCAGGCTTGTATCTAATAGGTCATTGAATTTTAGAAGTGTCTAATACGTATTTGAACTTTCAATTTTGTTGTAACTAAAATGTAATTGAAATATGTAGCAGAAATTGCTTACCGCAAGTGTACGGGTCAAGCTTTAATAAAGTGGTAAGTCAAATACCGATATCGTCCTCTGGATTGGGTTTCTAGATCACTTAAGTACCACAAATACAATCGCTCAATTTTATTTAGAGAATCAAAATCAAATTGGAGAATATAATCAAAGGAAATAAACAAGCAATAACAAAGATAAAAACAATGGGGAGAAAGGTCTAGGGAATTGATTTCACCTATTGAATATATGAACCAACTCCTTACTTAATCAAGATTGAACGAATTATTAATTCTATAGGCCAAGAACTCTCAAATCTCAATTGCCTCTCCCGAGCGCAAGCTAATTCTCCTTACCAATTATGAAACCAATATCCCTATCTAGTTTCTATAACAAGTAAAGACTTTATTGAACAAGTCTTTTAACGACCTCTAAAGAACTTCTAAATCTCCCGATCTTAAAACCCCTTTAGTTATGCATTCCAGTTCTAACTCTAAACCACCTCTCCCGAGCGTAAGATTTCAAGTCTAAAATCAATCAATCTATGGCCAGTAGATTCAAGGCATGAAGCGTAGAGAAGCATAAATAGAACATTCATAAACATTCAATCAAGAAAACTAAACAATCAATGCATAAAGTTCAATGGCTACATCAATCCCTAAGATAAGAGGTTTAGCATTTCATATTCAATGTAAAATAATAAAATCACAATGAGAAGTCCATAACAAAACTAGAAAAATCAAGAGAAAGGAGAAGAAACTATGTTCGGCGTGTCAATCTTCCGTCCCCGAAGCGACATCCATGATCCTGAGCCTTGAAAATCACTTTCCTAAGCTCTCCAATGGTCTCCTTGCCCTCCAAATTGACCAAAAAGGCAAACTGCCAAAAAACCTCTCCCAAACTCTCCCCTTTCGATGGCTGCACAACCCTATTTTTATAAAAAGTTGTCGCGGCAGCGCCGTTGCGCTATATACAGGGTCATGACGCTACACTATTCACAAACACGAAATTTAAACTTTGGAGCGTCGTGGCACTCTAGGCTAGCGCCGTGGCGCTATTTCCTCGGGTTTTTAGCTCCAAATCTTGTTGTTATTCCATATATTGGTCACTTTAATTCCGATTTTTCTCTCATTTTGATCCAAATATGTCTCGTTTCCTCCCGATGCTTTATTTCTGCAAAATATATCTTATGTGCTTAAATTTGTCATGAAGAAACGAAAACTAACAAATAATTTCAATATAAATCTCATGAAATGTAGCTCACAAAGTATGCTATCAAAATACTCCAAACTTTTTCAAATTAAAGAATCTATTAGACATAATATTGAATTTAGAGTCTAATAAGTCTCAAAATTTTCAAATTTTT